GTGCTCCTCCACCACAGGCTGTACTGTCAGGGGAAGAATGGCTTCCAGGCAATCTCCCCAGGTATGGCACAAGGTCCTCTTGGTTTCTAGCTTCCAAATGGCTTTCGTGACCCCGGTCAACTACACCTCTCAGTCTTCGGGGTAGTCTGTATTCTCATGTTCTCTGAGTCCTTGTTCAGCAGCTGTTTGTCATTGACTCTGGACCTTTCTGGTTCTCAATGGCAGGGGCAAGAGCGACCCGTTGTGTGGCATGTATTCCCAGGGGTTTCTCCACGTTGGGATGATTCATGCACGTCCCTGGGCAGGCCTCTGTGGTCGGTGCGTGGCAGGCCAATTCTGTCATTGCTTCTCTGGGCCACGATAGTTCTCTCGACTGCACGGTGGTGGGTGGGTTGAGGGCTGGCACGCGCCAGCGCGTGCTGCCGTGCAGCTTCCAGGACACCAGCTGCCCACCTCCCAGGCGCCTGTGTGGCTGGGGTTCCGCCCAAAGGCTGGAGCTCCCTGCTGCGTGGCTTCCTGGGCACAGGCGGCCCGCCTCCCGGGTGCCTGCTTGGCTGGGGTTCGGCCCAAAGGCTGGAGCTCCCCGTTGCACGGTTTCCCAGGTGCAGGCGGCCCACCTCCCCTCAATAACTTTTATACAGTGTTCTGAAACCCCAATCCTCAGTTATAATTTTGATGGTATGACGAAATGAGGGTTTTTTTTCCTGGTACTGGGAATTGAACTCACGACCTCATGCTTGCCAGGCAGGCGCTGTGCCACTGAGCTAAATCCCCAGGTCCCGGAAATGAGTTTTGAGTTCAAATACCATTAAAAAATAACTCAGCATCTCTTATATAAATAATTTCTCTTAAATGTACTATGATCCATATTCTTACAGAACTTAAAGTGAAAGAGTTAATTCTCAGTGGTAAAAAAAGACGGTGAAGACAAGAGGATGGGTAGATTTAACTGTTATGCTAAATCAAATCTCTGTGGTTGTGTGAGATTGGACAAATTAGTTCCTTGATTCACTTTTATGTAAAAAAATTAAATTAAAATTACATTAAATTTAAAAAGTGTATGGCCTTTGTACTCTTATTACCTGCATTCTTTTCTGTTGGGCTTGTGCTCTATCTGAGGACATGAATTTTCACACATAGTCCTCCAAGCAACCAATGGCCATTGATTAGAGGGCAAAACTGAGAGGAAGCCTATTATCCACCTTAGACTATATGATCTCTAAATTCCCTCTCAGTTTTACAAAATCAATCCCTAAAAATCCAACGCAAATATTATCATCAGAAAATATGATTCAGCCTGATTTTGCCTATATTTTTATAAATTTGAAGTGTGGGGGGGAAGCATTTGTCACATGTTGAGCATCCTGTGTTCAAAGTATGAGGAGACCCAAAGTGTTTCATATTTTAGACTTTTTAAAAATTTTGGAAAATGTGTATAGACTTAACCTACTAGTCAAACATTCCTAATTCAAAAATTTAAAATTCTAAATGCTCCAAAATCTAAAACTTTTTGAGAGATGATATGACAATGTTCAAGAGTTTTACATTTTAGAGAATTTCAGACTTCAGATTTTGGGGCTAGGGTTGTTCAACTTGTAAATATAACATTTTATATTGGTTCCACAGTTAGTATTAAACCTACAAAAACTTGCTTATATGAGGAGATATATTACACATTTACATGTGTGCACACCTATATATTGTTCAAGTTGTATTTGCATAGCAACTATATATATTAAGATAATACTGGTTTGATCTGATGCTCCAAGAATCTTTCATGTAAGTGTATATGACTCAGAAAATGTTTTAAAGACTAACTCTTCCTTGTAGTATCTTTTGGTTCTAAAATTAAACTAGTTCTGCAGCATGTGATGGCATGCATGTAATTACTGGTACTTGGGAGGCTACAGTGGGAGGATTACAAGTTTGAGGCCAGCCTGGGCAATTTAGTGAGAACTTGTCTCAAAAAAGTGGATGGGGTAGGTTGGGTATATAGCTCAGTGCTCCCTGGATTTAACCCCCAGTATCACTCACTCACACACAGACACACAGATACACACACACACAAACTGGTTCTATATTAAGTTTCTTGTGAGTACAGTATTGGAAACAAGTCTGATAAGAAGGACATGGCTGTTTTGGCACTGCTCACATGGCTTGGGAGCTGCTCCCAGATTGATGGTAAGGGCTGCTACAACAAAACTTTTATTTAGGCTGCTGAATTATTTTTTAAAATTAGCTTGTTATTCCTAGGACATAGGGCAGTGGTGGCAAACCTATGGCACAGGTGTTATTTGTTTTTCTTTTAAAAGCTGTTAATATATAAGTTGTTTTTTCTAAACTAAATATTCAGCATTCAGGTTTAATTGTAGTGTTGGCACTATGTGATAAATAAGTGGGTTTTGGGTTGAAGTTTGGGTACTCGTCTCTAAAGAGTTCTCTATCATGGACCTAAAGCGTAACTAGTTGTCATAAGAAATTTAGATTTGAAACATAGATTGTATTATTAGAAGCTTAAGACAGAACATGCCAGACTGATGTGGTGGCACACCTTTATAATACCAGCTATTCAGGAGACTGAGGCAAAAGGATTGTAAGTTTAAGGTCAGCTTGGAAAATTTAGTGAGACTGTCTCTCAAAATTTTTATTTAATTAACAAAAGGGCTGAAGATATAGTTCAGCACTCCTTGGATTCAACCCCACTACTGCAAAACAAAAACACAGAACATGACAAAATTAGGATCCAAATGAGTACTGCAATTAGAGATCTACACATGGAGAAGACATAGATTTCTTTGACAAGAGTAGTAGTAGGAACCAGCAGAGAGGGTAGTCAGTCTGATACAAAAATAATGATATGGTTTGTGTCTAGATGTCCTCCCAAAGTCTTATGAAGTCATAGGTGGAACTTTTCAGAGGTGGCTGGATGTATGGTCTGATGTTGGGATTAAGTATGTGATGTTGGGATTAAACAGGTATGTGATTACTAAATTACTCCAGTGATTGGTTTGGCATAGTTCTGGATGTAGAGAAGAAGAAAAGCCACTCTGGGTGCCAGTGCTACCTCTTGTAAGGCCATGGAGCCTGGATAGAACATAAGGAACAGAAAGAGGGTTGCTGTCATCACTTGCTGCTTCCTCACTACTTCGTTGCTTTGCTGCCTTCTGCCCACCATGAACTATTTCTCCTCTGCCATGTCCCTCTGCCATGCCACCCTGTCTTGAACCAGCTGACTATGAACTGAAACTTCTACAAACTGTGAGGTACAATAAATCTTTCTTCCCTTAACTTTGGGTGTTGGCTATTTTGCCTCAGCAACGAGAAGAATAACCAAGACAATAAAAAATACCTTAAGGAAGTTACGCAAAGCTTCTTGTACAGTTGAAGATGGCATATTCCCAAACAGAGTAGCAGCCATTTTTTTCTCAATCCAGCTGAGTTTTGAGACCTGAAAATACAGAGCTCCATCACCTTTAGGAAGCTACTCACCTTTGAATGGATTATCTTTCCTCAGAGAGGTGTGCAGGTGCATATGTATGTATGTGCACATAAATACCACATACATAAATAAAAATACTTATCCATAAATGATATAGGAGACTTATCACACCTGTGGCATTCATATTTTTCATTTTTTCTCATAATTCTAGCAAACCATCAGCTCCAGAAGTGCTGGTTTCAAAACCAGTTTGAAATACTTATGATAAAATTTGTGTACAACCAGAGGGAAATGATGTCAATCCTGTTTATCTGATTTTTTTCTGTTTTTTCTTTTATTTTAAAAAGAAAAGAACAAAAACAAAGACAAAAACAAAACAAGACAAAAACTGTAAAAATGATACAAAATTTCAAAACAAGATGATAGGATCATCTGATTTTTTCTAAGATGACCACAGAGTATGTCTTTGCCCAGCATGGAGAAGCAGAGAGATATGGTCTTGGCTCTTCTCCTGCCTACCCTGTGCTGCTAAATGGCCTCCTAAATCATAGATAGTTTCTCAGACATGGAGACAGAACAAGGATTCTTAACCTAAGAGTACAGAGAGAGGGGCCAGTATACATATTTACAATCCAGGAGATTTAAAAAAAACCCAACAACTAACAAAACTAAGTTTCATATTACCATTTATTTTTTACTTTTAATTTTTTTCATTTTTCCAATTACGAATAGTATTGGATATTTATTAAAAAAGATCAAGGTGATTCCAAAATAAATACTTAAAGGGGATTAATACAGTTGACACCCTCAACCCACATCAAATGTCTTCTTTCTTAATCCTATCTCTAAATTTCTAGGTAGCCATTATTATCTGCTCTTTAAAAATCTGCATTTCTGGAGTCTGCGCTCTGCACTTCCTCCATTGCCTGGGAACAGTGGTGCCAAGAGTGGTGTGTGAATCTGAGCTTTGCCCTCCCTCCATTTTCCCAAGAGGGGGTGGTGCCAGTGAGAGGAGTTGAGATAACATCAAAAAAAAAAAAAAAAAAGAAATACTTAGAAATCAATCTAACAAAGGATGGAAAAGATCTCTACACTGAAAATTATAGTACCCTAAAAAATGAGATTGAAGAGGATATCAGAAAATGGAAAGATATCCTTTATTCTTGGATAGGAAGAACCAACATAGTGAAAATGGCCATAGTCCCAAAACTGCTATACAGATATAATGCAATCCCAATCAAAATACCATTAATATACCTCACAGATCTCGAGAAAACATTCCTAAAATTCATTTGGAACCAGAAAAGACCTAGAATAGCAAAAGCAATTCTGGGCAACAAAGGAAAGTCAGGCAGCATTACAATCCCACACCTGAAATTATACTACAAAGCTATGGAGATAAAATCAACATGGTATTGGTAAAAAAACAAACTTAAGGATCAGTGCAACAGAACAGAAGATGCAGACACAACTACAAACAAACCCAGACACCTTATGATTGGCAAAGGGGCCCAACATGTTCACTGGAAGAAAGATAGCCTCTTTAATAAATGGTGCTGGAAAAACTGGCTCTCCACATGCCCAAAACTAAAACTAGACGTGTGTTTACCGCCATGCACTAAAGTCAAAATGGATCAGAGATCTAAATATTAAAATAAAAACACTAAATTTACTGAAAGAGAAAGTAGGCAGAAATTTCAAAGACATAGGTATAGTCTGAGACTTCATGAACAAAACCCAGACTACAAAGGAAATATTACAAACAATCAACAAATGGGATCTCACTTTATTAAAAAGCTTTTGCACAACAAAAGAAATCTCCAACAGAGTGAAAAGATAACCCACAGAATGGGAAGAAAGTATAACCAGTTGTCCCATGGACAAAGGACTTATATCTATAACGTATAAAGAATTGAAAAACATCTGACCCTCCAAATTCAAAGACCCAATCCAAAAATGGGCATCTGAAGTGAATACATACTTCTCAGATGAAGAAATACAAATGGTAAATAAATATATGAAAAAATGTTTAATATCATCAGTCATTTGAGAGATGCAAATTAAAGCAACACTGAAATTCCATCTCACTCCAGCAAGAATGGCTATCATCAAAAAAAAAATCAATAACAAATGCTAGAGGGACTGTGGGGAAAAAGGAACCTTTCTCCACTGTTAATAGGAGTGTAGAGTGAGGCAACCACTATGGAAATCAGTGTGGAGATTCCTTAAAAAACAGGGATTAGAGGTCCCATTTGACCTAGCTATTCCCCTTCTGGACATCTTCTCAGAAGAATTAAAAACATCATACCACAGCAATATACATGCACCCATGTTTATAGCAGCACAATTTGTAATAGCTAAATCTTGGAAACATCATAGATACCCATTAACTAAGGAATGGATAAAAAAGATTTTATTTTTATATAATGAAGTACTACTCAGCCATAAAGAAGGATAAACTGGAGACTTTTATAACCAGTTGTCCCACAGACAAAGGACTTATCTCTACAACATAAATGGATGCAACTCAAGACCATAAGTGAAATAAATCAGACTCATATGTGTAAACATTAAATTGTCTCACTAGTCTGAGAAACTGAACAAGAAAATACGATCTGAAATGAATAGTAGATTTGTGAATTGGGGAAAAAAACTGTGGAGAAGAGAAGACTAACTGGCATGGAGGAAAGGAGAAAGGAAGAAAGGACAAAAGAACATATATGTATGCACAAGGTAGTTAAGAGAGTTATACAGCTAGTTTCTCTGAGTTCCCTGGAAAGAATGTTTTGTGCTAATATTGTTTGGACAAGATATACCTATTTCTTGTACTCTGAATAACTACTAGGAAGACAACAATACACAAAGTATTAACTATTGTAATTGTCCTACTAACCTGTTTTGAAACTCAGTTTTATTATTTATCTTTTTTATCTTTAAAATAAAAATAAATAAATAAAAATTTGCATTTCTGTAATTTTACTTATCATGTGCTTCTCTTTGCTTTGTTTTGAACTTTGTAAAAGTGATACAGTTTATCTCCTTTTGTGATGTTTTCCATTTAACATTACAGTTTCAAGATTCATCCAGGTTTGATGCATGTACATGAAGTTCAGTCATTAAAGCAATTTATTAAATGTGAGGTTTAATATGCTTATTATATGTCTTAGATACTAATTTTTTTGTCTTATTGTTCTATTAATTAACTAAAGAGGTAGGTGAAGTCTACTAGTACATATGCACTTTTATAATTTGGTCAATTTTTATTTCATTGCTTTAAAGCTGCTATTAGGAGCAATGAATTTATAAATATTTTCTTGGTGAATTGAATTTTTAAATTGTATAGCTGTCTTCTTTATTTCCATAGATAATTTTGCCTTAAAATTTATAGCTGTATGTAGGTACGGGTATGTATGAGTATACTGACTTTATTTTGTCTACTATTTAGCTGATACAATTTTTGCATATGCTTATTTTTTACATTTCTTGATCGCTATGTGTTTTTAAAATCAGTTTTATTGAGGTAAAAGCTACATAAAATAAATTTCACCCATTAGAAGGGTACAGTTCAATGAGTTCTGATAAATACATATAGTCATAGAACACTCCAGCAATTAATATATAGCACATTTCAATCATCCCAAAACGCCCTCTCCTGCCCCTTGGCAGTCAATCTCCATACCCTCCTCCTAGCCCCAGGCACCCACCGATCTGTGACTACAGTTTGCCTTTTCTAGCACTCCACATCGATAAGACTTATACATATTTTATGAACCTTCTTGGCATAATATTTTAAAGGGTCATCTGTGTTGTTATGCTGTTAAGGCTGCTATGAATATTTAAGTATTGGTTATTGTGTGAACACTGAACATATATTGTCATTTCTCTTGGCAAAGACCTAGGAATCATTATATCATTTATTCATATATTCATGTATTATTCATAATTCCATCAGATTATATAAGCAATCTAATTGCTCCATATCCCTGTCAACATTTCGTATTGCCAGTACTTTTAATTTGAGTCCTTCTAGTGAGTATGTAGTGGTTCTTTTTTATGGTTTTAATTTGTGCTTTCTAATGACTAATGGTGCTGAACATTTTTTCATTAACCTTAAATGTCATTCATAGAGCATTTCTGTAAAGTGTTTTAATTGATACTTGATCTGGAAAACAATCAAAAATATACATTTCTAGTCCATTAGGAGATACTTCTAGTTTAGTCCTTTTTAATTTAATTCTAGGGCTAACAGCCAGTGCTGGACAAAACGGTATAACTAGAAAAGATAGTATTAAAAAAACCTCTTGATGTATGGAGTAAGAGCAAAGCTGTCAAATTTCTTAACAAGGTCTACTTGGTCTTGCTGTACAGCCATAAAAAGTTTACTTTCAGAAAGCAGCTTTGAATTTTGATCACACTCATCCATTTCTCTCCTTAATTACTCTTATTTAAAGACACATTAATACATTATGCATAGCTGCTTAGTTTTCTATATTCCATTTTTCTAATATCTGAAGTCATTTTAGGTCAGCTTCAGTTTCTTATTTTAAAAAAATTATGTTGGGGCTGGGGATTTAGCTCAGCGGCAAAAGCGCCTGCCTGGAAAGCGCAAGGTCGTGAGTTTGGTTCCCAGTACCAGAGAAAAACCAAAAAATAAAAAAAAAAATAACAATAAAAAAATTATGTTGACTATCACTCCTGTTGGTTCAATTCCTTATATATTTTTGACTATGAGCTCCCTATAGTTGGGACACTTTCTGTGAAAAAAAAATTTTTTTTTCCTTTTTGAGACAGGGTCTTGCTATGTAGTTCAGGCTGGCCTTGAACTCACTTTGTAGCCCAGGCTGGCCTCGAACTCACAACAGTCCTCCTACCTCAGCCTCCCAAGTGCTGGGATTCCAGGCGGGCACCACCACGCCCGGCACCTGTGAAAACTTTATGAAGCCTGTGTGAAGGTGCGATTCTCTAGGGGGATTAGCATTTACTTCTGTCATGTACAGGGCACAAAGTACAGGGGTCATTTTGAATGGAAACTGCTTTCTTGGGTTTTCAGCTAAAGACATAATATACATTCAAGCCCCTGACTTGCACGAGGTTGGGTCAATGGCTTTTGCATCTCAGAAGAGTCCTCCCTTCCCGGGCATCTTCTCCACCGTCAAGGCTGACAATAAACCGTCATTGTGAGAAGTTTCGCCTGAGTCACTTTAAGTTTACCTCTTTATTTTCCCTAGATATAACAGACAATCTTGACTGTCAACCTGACTACTTGACTTACTCGAGATGCCTGGGAGAGTAATAAAACACACTTGTGGTTCTGTGTGCGTGGGTCATGGGGGTGTGACCCTGCTCCCTGGCCCCTTCTTCTCTGGTGCTTTCCAACATTCTCTAGTTCCTAGGTGCCATGGATTGAGCATCTTTGGTTCACCATACCCTTCTACCATGATGTTTTTGCCTTGGAGCCAGCTGACCATGGACTGAAACTTCTGCAGCTATGAGGCAAAATAAATCTGTCCTTTATGTTGCAAGCATCAGGTATTTTATCTCAGTAACCAAAAGGCAACTAAGACATTAAGGCAAAGTATTTCTTAGTGTTGGATATATTATAGTACCCTCAAGCTGTTCCTCGCTCTGTTCAGATTCGCAGTCCCCTCTGCCCAACAAAAGTCAAGGTACTAGTTTTAGTAAATGCCTCTGCTTATGAGGTGGCTTCAAAACTGATATACTAGCCCTGGGAGGTGATGTTCCTGATTTGTTTCTGGCATCTGTCTGTTCCCCTTACTTTTTATGTATGCTCTTCCATTCAGCTGATTAGAAACACATACATATACAATACACACATGCAAACTTTTAACATATTTTTTGGCCAAAAAGTTTTGAGCTCTTTAGTCTGCATGTGCCGGAAACAATCTTTATACCTTTGTTCATTCTTGCTTAATACCTTTGCTAAAACCTATTCTCCATGTAGCAATGAATTCCAACTTCTCATACAATTCCTCTTTGTCTTCTCTACTTGTAATTTGTAGGAAGAGAGACTAGTGAAAAGCAGTGACAAACTACCTGGATCTGAATCCTGTTCTACCACTTAATAGCTAAGTGACCTTAGCAAATCATGTACTGTGAAGGGTAGCTGAAAGAGGTAAGTGAGCTACAATGTATTAGTGTCCACAACCATATAAAATACCTATATGCACCATGTATGTGTTAATTATTATTACTACTGCTTTTTATATTCTTGGTTCTCTGTAACTTTTCTACATTTTCAATGTGTTATTTGAGCAACACACACTTTTGGAGATTCTCATGTTAAGTGTGAAGAACTGAGCTTCATGCTGAATAGCATACTAAGTAGTAAAATGTGGACTCTCTCTAAGAGCTTTCAGATAACTTGGCATCAACAGAAAAGAACTAGTAAATGAAAAATGTGGTCTGGTGGAAGGTAGTGAATGAATGGTATAGCTAACTGCAAAGTTTTAGAGAATGCTGCTGTCACCATGTATTTTATAACTCTGAATAGACAATTAAAAATCTGAGTGCTATAACCATTCTATTATTTGACATGGCAAGTCTCATAACCAGGACAAAAATGGGAAAAGCAGATGATATGACTTTTCTCTTTTTTCCTTACAAAAACATAAGTTCTTTGCTTATGTGACAGAATGGAAAGGGTATAAATTCGGGAATTATAAAAATTTGAGCATCAAGACCGGCTCCTTCACATACTAGTTAATTGGGATGCCAGGAAGGTTGTCATGAAAAGTCAGATTCTTTTAAAACTAGAACGATAATAAATAACTGCCTCACGAACTATTTTAAGAGTTAAATGTGAGGGGCTGGGGATTTAGCTCAGCGGCAAAAGCGCCTGCCTGGCAAGCGCAAGGTCGTGAGTTCGGTTCCCGGTACCGGAGAAAAACCAAAAAAAAAAAAAAAAAAAAAAAAAGAGTTAAATGTGAGAAGAAATATCAAGTATAATATGCACTTGTGGCCTACAGTAGATGTTCAATAAAAGCAACCTTCTTTCCTTATCTCTAACCCTGTATCAGCCTTAATGAAAAAGTTACCTCTTTTGCTCACCCTAATTTTTCATTTACAAATAGCACTGCCTTTTCATGGTAATGTTTTAATGTATCTCTTAGATATATTTTCCATGCTTTTAAAGACACTGGGTCTTAGGCTGACCAGCTGCTCTTATTTGAGCTTTTTCAAAATATCACATATCCCTTCTATATTAAGTTCCTTAAAGAAAGAGTACATATGACACAGATATTTTAAGATATTTTGTGGCCAGAAAATTAAAGTTCATCTTCTAATTAGTTAGTGCATAATTGATTTTAAATAAATACTGCAAGGTGAAAAGAAGTCTTCCTACAGAACCAGGGATAGTTGGCATTGAGAGAGAGAGAGAGAGAGAGGAAGAAGAAGAGGAGGAGGAAGAGAGACAGAAAGAAAGTGAGAGAGACTTTGTTGCTGATCATAACCTGAGAGAGCCTGAAGTATGCCTTCTGCAACCTCTTGGAAAGATGTGAGACAGAGACAGACAGACATATAATACTGCATGTAATTTAAAATACAAGCTTATAAATTATAATATAAAAAAATTTAAAATTATAATTATGAACTACAAATTCATATTAAATTATAACATGCACATCACACATCAAAAAGGTACACCAACTTTAAAATGCTTCTTTAAATAATAAAGTTAATAAATACATCTTATATTCATAGTATATTCAAACAAGATTTATGAATAAAAGGGTTCAACTTACAGTGTAACAGTACCTTCCGTTGAGGTAATACAAAAAGGGTTCGTCAGGTAAAAGTTGGATTGCTATATCTAGATGTTCCTGAAAGAAATATCCAAAAGAAAAGTCACTTCTCAAGTTTCAGACATTGCTGAATGGAATCATACCAAAGCTCAGTGTTCTCTAAAGTGATTTGACTGTCTCAGGGACCGTGAACTAACTGCATCATTAATATAATTGAATATTATCAATAATTCAATTATCAAAAGTGTGACTATGATTCATGAAGTGTACCAGGACCAAAACTGTGACTTTGATTCAACAAGTACATGTATAATTTAAAGCCAAATGCCATTACAAAAATTGGAAACAACCAAGTTAAACGTTCATCTATTTAAGTCTTGCCTGGTAAATACTTAAGAGGTGACCTTACACAAATGAGATAACTTGGAGGAGGGTGAAATAGAGGAAAAACAGCAGAGCCAGGTGGGGGAGGAATCTATTCTGGCACTGCCGGGATGTTTATAGAAAGCTGGAAAAAATGTCCTCCCTGCTATTACTGGCCCTGAAAAGTTATTCATTGGGCTACCATAATTAAATGCAAATACTAAGTGAGATTACGAGAATTACTGACTTTGCTCATCTATCATGGTAAGTTTAAGCTCTAGTTTAGATCCTATTCCTCCTACCAAGTAAATATACAGAAAAATTTGACTAATCCCAATCATAAGTACTATACAAGTAAGCTCATGACCAAAAGGCTAATCTTTGAAAAAATAATACTCATGTACTATGAGTTCAGGACCTCAAGTAATAATAAAATTTAATTACCCAAATAGTTTGATTCTTTTTGTCATAGTACTATTACAGCACTATTTCATTTCTTACCATTCAAATGACAAAAATAAAAAATTCTTAGCACTTACCTTGTTGAACAATCTGTTTTACACCTGATAATGAAATATATAGCTATGTTAAAATATTTTTCCTGTCAAGAAATACCTTGAAGCGATGTCCATAGTTGATTTTATTTTGTAAGCCCTCAAACTGAGATACATAGCCACACAAAACTGCATACCTGAAAATATAAAGACAGTGGCTATCATGTAAATTTTTAATCAAATACCATCAAAATATAACATTTTAAAATTATCTAAAGCAATATTAGCAATATTATCTAAAGCAATATTAATATTTTACAAAAGTATTAATATAGTTGCAAGGGCCCTAGAAATAAGTATCTGACATTAACATGAGGCCAGGTTCCTCTTCTGTAACTGGGGATACCAATGTTTTCTATTACATATGTATGTTGTGATGATAAAATGGGTCATATAATGTGCTTGTACAGTGCCTGGCACACAGGAAGTTTTTTTTTTGTCTTGTTGAGACAGGGTCTTGCTATGCAGTTCAGACTTGCCTTGAACTCACTTTGTTGCCCAGGCAGGCCTCAAATGAATGGTAATCCTCCTGCCTCAGTCTTTCAAGTGCTGAGATTACAGGTGTGCGCTACCACGTCTGGCAAGCAAGTTTTGATAAATGTCAGCAGCCACTACCATTGCCATCATTAATACTAAAGTTATGAAGAAACTCTCAGAAAGAAATCTAATCATAATCAGATTGGAAAACACATCAACGGATTTATAAACTGAAAAACATTATTAATGTTTATTCATATTTAAAGCTATAATACTAATTAATATTTGTAACCCTAAAAAGTAATTATATTCTAAGTACTGCATGTTTCTGTTGGTGGTCTCTGGTTTCACTCTAATATGGTGTGAGAATTCACTTTGCAGGATTTACATTTCTTTGAATAGATTAAGATTTTTATTATTGTTATGAGCATGGTCTATTTTGAAAAAAACACCTAAATAAATAAATTCCTAGAATAGGAAAATCTATGAAGATACACGAGACCATTTTCCCTACTCCATATAGTAGCACAGAAATAAAAAAAAGACCATGTATTTTTAAAAAATATCTGTGTTGGGTCTACTTAAACTTCCTCCTCTAGAGATTCACAAAACAACCCAAGTAACTCTGGGCTACAATAAAAGGAATAGCTGGGCAACAGTGTTGGGATTGATCTGTTTTCTGAAAATCAGAACTATGTATGCACACTTTTAAGCTTTTATTTTGCTCTCTCCACACATTCAAAGTTATTCTGAGTGAAGAAAAAAAAAACCCAGGATTTATTAATATTATTGCATGAAATATGTAATTTTTCTGTTTAAACAATCTGTCGCTAGAGTGTTACTTTTTTTTTTTTAGGAAATCTGTTTAAATTATTTATCTTCCTATATGCCATAATTCAAAGATCACCTGGCTACTTTCTCCCAAAAGATCATCACTTCTGTTCAATCAGTTTATACTTTTGTGCATGCTTGTGTGTTTTAATTATAACTTTTTATGGTTCATTTAAAACGTAATTTAATGCTTTATTTCTCAAACTCTCAGGTTGCTGGGAGCTCTAAAGAAAGCTAATTTACAATATGGTGTAGTACCTCCATCTACAGGTCATTCTCACTATAAATACTTTGACAAGAGTTCTGTATTTTTCCTTGCATTGATATTGAATAAACCTTTAATAGTTGATAACAATACTATTTCAACAATTACTAAAACAACTCCATTAGTTCTCCTGCAATATTTTTTATTTAGTGCCAACACTATTTATAAGATGAGAAAACAGAAACAGCATGCTATAATAGAAGAAAGACTGTGTACATAACAATCAAGGATATGAGTTCTGGCTTTGTTTTTCTACTTATTTTGTGGGACTGGTTAGTAATCAGCAACACACACACACACACACACACACACACACACACACCCTGGGCTTTGCTTATTGTATCTAGAAAATGGAAATAGGCTGGTGTGTAATACATGTGGATATAATTTGCAAACAGTAGAGCAAAACAAATATGTAAGACATTATTTATAATTAAAGCCAGCCCTGTTTGGCCAACAAACTGCAAATCCATTGGTGACTTTATGCTCTTGATTCCAAAAGTATGTTAGGCTGGTACAACAAAAACATCAGAATCTTATAGAACGCTTAGGCAGGCTTAAAGTTACAAAGCAATTTCATTTTGGAAAACACAGAGATGAAAACTACATATTTAAAATATTTATTTTTCAATTATTGCATAAATATTAACTTTATAAAAATTATTCTTAAAAGAGTACATCTTTTATTTCAAAGTGAAGGCTTATCACTGTAAATCACAGGTCTGTAAACTTTTGCTATAGAGCCAGATAGTAAATATTTTGAGCTCTGGGGCCAAGACAATTCTTCAACTATGGTATGAACAAATATGCACGTGAGGATGTGCGCTAATAAATCTTTATTTACAAAAACAGGCTGTCAGATCTAGTCTGAAGGCCATAGTTTGTCATTCATGTTATAATGAAAGAGAAGTTTTATTAGTGTCCAAGCGTACTGGAAAAGATTCCAGGAGAAAAGATCTTAGGTCAACATGTTAATGAAAGTGATTATGGAATCAGTTTACCCAAATTTTACCTATTATTTCTCACAGTTTAAGTTTCTCTTTTTTTCATCATCTTCATCCTTACTATTTAGTTGCATATATGTAATACCTTTGAATACGAGTACTTTTGCATTTAGTAGATATAACACATTTGTTATGGTTTGTGTCTGCATGTCCTCTCAAAGCCTCACGCAGTCATGGGGTGGGCTTCTCGAGTTTATGATGGATTCATGGTCCAGTGTTGAAATTATGGATGTGAGTGCTACACCTGCCTGGGGGCGGATAGTTTGCATACAACGTAAGGGAGGGAAAGAGGCTTTCTCTTCCAGTTGCCACTCCTCCCTTTTGCTTTTGTTGCTTTGCTGTCTTCCCTGCCATGAACTGTAACCCTCTGTCACATGCCACCTGGCCTTGGAGCCAGTCACGTATGGACTGAAACCTCCATAAACTGTAAGCTAAATAAACCTCTCCTTTCTTAATTTTGGGCGTCAGACATTTTGTCCCAGCAATGTGAGCAAATTAACCAAGTCAACAGTCTAAGAATTAAGATTAAATTGATATTCACATTTATTAAATTTCTATCAATTTATCAGATTTTAACATTTTAAATTAAAAACTGGTACTGAATAAGAAATCATGAAAAACATAATTGGGTCATTACTTTGTCTATGTTTTAATAAGATTTAATCTCAGAGTTAAATCTCATTGTTACAAACAAGGCATTTAGTTCACAACAAAAAAAAAAAAAAGAAAAAAAAAAGAAGAAAGAAAAGACAAAGCAGCAGCCAGATTAATGGAAGACAGACTGGGCAGCCCATTAAAGGTAAGTTCAGCATGATCTATGCTTACAAGGTAATTATTAAACTCTCAGAGAAGGTTCCATATTATTCCTCTATAAAATCTGGAAAATCACCTTAATAAATCTCCTCAAATTGAGAATTCACATCAAACAGACTGTTTCATGTGATTCTTCATGTGTACAGATGAATGTAGGGGAGAAAAGACAGCAGGAGGATAATGACGGGGAGGAGGAGGAGAGGAGAGGGAGAGTTAGAGGAGAAAGGAAGTGGGAGGGGAGACAGCAATGTTAAGAGCAAAACATGAATGTTCTTTCTGCATCCTACTCTGGACAGCCAACTCCCAAACACTTCCAGTTTCACAAGGGATGAAGAAAAGTATAACTGCATCAGTACAAACTGATTACAGACATCTTTAAAGGCAGAAGACTAGAGGACCTTACCACGCACATACATTAATTTATCAGTATATATTACTATTATGTACATTAAATGATCTAGGTAAACTTGGTTATATAAATAATTGCCAAGACCCTTTTATAATGGGGAAATGATCTTAAAAATCTGCACCAGGATATTAACTGCAAAATTTGTCTTATTTTTTGCAGAAGTGCAAATGGGAAGAATAATACTTTCTCCTCTTCAGTTCCTAAATCAAGATACTCTACTACCCACATGTGGCACGCTCGGGAACGTTTCCAAGGCTCTTCCCTCCTTGCCTCTTAACCATTTCCAGGCTATATGAAAGAAGGCAAAGGAGGAAGAGAGGAGGAAGAGGAGGAGGAAGAGACTGAGGGTGATAGTTTTGATAGGGTTGGGGTGTTGTAGGTTCACCTTGCACCCTCTCCTAAAAGAGGGCAGGAGCTAGGCTTACTTTCAACCCAAGCAAGGGCAACTTTCAGACTTTTTCATATTTGTGTGTGTGTGTGTGTGTGTGTGTGTGTGTGTGTGCGCGCGCGCGTGTGCACACACACGCGTGTAATACCTTAGATTGTGGGGGACAAATAAAACTTTACCCATCCCTGCCAAGACTTAGTTGTGAGATTTTGGGAGTGGAGCTCCCCCTGCTGACCAAAGAGTACAGAAACATCTGTTTGGAAAACAGTTTCTGCTTCAGAATTGAGTAAAAATGAGTTTCTTCATGGTGACCTGCAGAAAAAAATCTGTTATAAGAGGGGTTTGGGCCTAAGAGTGTTAGTAGGAGAATAAAACAGTCCCAAAGAATTTTGTCAAAATATAACCAAAAAGAAGAGTAATAATTAAAAACATTTCTTATTTGTGTTTTATAGTCCTAAAATATACAAAGGGTCCAAAACATAACCATGAATATTTTTTCTTATTCCAAAGGTATTTACCTATGCTGTAAATTAAATTCCTTTATCTGAGCTTTCTTGTAACTAGAATTTCTTCGACTCATGGAATTTGCATACCATGACGTCTCAAGTCAGAAGAAAATGGCTAATCTGCTTTTTATAATGTGAAGATTTTCTCTACATTTTGTTTGGAAATATGGCATCGCTTTAGTATATTTTTCAAACAAAATAGTGTCTTAAAGTAGATTTTATTATAATTTACCATCTTCAAAGCCACTAGACTTGGTAGATTCACTTATGAAATATGCAGTGAGAGTTTATCTTAATTACATTTAAAATACACCTAGACAGAAGTACATAATAATAAATAAGAACAGCTGCTGTACTATTTACTAAATACATTTTTCAGTGACTGTGCCTACCAAGATCAATGATCAATGATATTTTAAAAAATTTAAACACAATAGATACAGAGGCATATGAGAATTTTTTAAACTTCAGAAATTCAATATGCTTACCACAGATGACAGTGGCCATTCATAGGTGCTCTAGTGATAGCTTTTTCACCTAATGTTTTTCCTGAAACATAAAGACAGTTTTATTTAGTGCCTTCCTGTGAGTTGGTAGAAGGTAAATTCTTGAACTCAGTGGTTCCTGAAATATGGTCCCAAGACCAAAAGCATTAGCGTCATCCAGCAGCTCGCTAGAAAAGCACATCTGTGGCACAACCGCAAACCAGGAAGGTCACTCGATCACCAACCCGCGTTTTAACGTACCTCCAACGATTCTGATGAATGCTCCCATTTGGGGTCGAATGAATTACTGATTTAACCAAGGGCCAGAAACGTCATTCAGTTATTGCTTAAAACCTTCATAGGATTTGTTTTTAAAAAATTAAGTCAAGCAACAATTACTGAGTGATGCAGTCCCTTGCTGTGTGAACATATAGGAATAAAATGTCAAAGACACCTTCCTTGCCCACCAAGGGCTCACAGTTCAGGAGGCAGTAGAGACATAAATAAGTAAGTTATGTGCAAAAAATAGGAGTAACACAGAAAGCGGGCACAGAGGAGTGAGAGCCTCTGTCTAAAGGGGCAACGAAGGCTCCGTGAGAAACTCCGGCCTAATCCCTAAACACTGGGCAGACTCAGCGAAATAAGTGACTTTCCCAAATTATTTTCACGTAGTTTTAAAACAACTTCTATCATGTAAAACTTACCTTAGAGGTTTGTCTAATCGCTGGAAAAATCAAAATACTTGCAGCAAAAGAGATTCACATTTTGAGAGTCTGAAAAATGGCCCTATTTTCTTTTATGTCCTTTTTTTACTCCTCTGCTGCATTTTTTTCCTTGAACAAACTGTCCAGTTATATATATATAGTCTTTATATATAAATCGTTGACACAATCTTTATGAATAATGATCATTTACTCTAAAACTATAATCTTATTTGTTAATTTGCTAAGGATGCACTAGATAGTCTGTCCATTAAGGGATACACTGTGGGGAAATCTACATAAATTAGAAAAATTAAAATGTATTTTAATAGTAGCTGATACTACATTGAAGACAAATATTAAAGGAGTTAGTAATTTTTAAATGTTTAAAAACATACTTGCTAATAGTAAAAACATAAAAATTAAATCAACATTTTAGATACATTGTCAAGTGAATAAAACTTTCAGTGCTCTACCACAGGCTTAAAATAAAGCTGACTCCATCATCAGAATGTAAAAGGAAATTGGACAATACACAGACTGTTTTCCCAGGCTCCCTTATACAGCTGATGCCTGAAAGGAAAGATATTTCTCTTACAGAACAGTAATTTGGGATCTTTTAGAGCTATTCATATGTCACTTAATTATGACTGTAGTGCTGAAATGTTCTTTTAAATATAAGATGTGTATTTCATTTGGAATACAAGTAATAGTCAATTATAATATTTCAAAAAAGTGCTGGATAATCATATATTCATTGTGAGTTTTTAGAAAGAATTCTAAACTCCCTAGTGATCAAAATTTTCCTTAGCTTAACAAATTTTCCTTAGCTTTTCCTTTCCTTTCCTTAGTAATAGGAAAAAACACCCAGCACTTCTTTCTCCCTCATACTGAGTCCAGCGTTCCGCACTGGTCTGGATCCCTGTTCTCAGTCCCCGTGTACTTGGTCATGACCTTACCGTGCACATACTCCTGATATACAGAATTATATCTCTTTATTAATCTTTCCATTCAATAGATTCCCTGTGTCGCACTATCTTACATCATATTTATGTCCTTCCTTTCCTCTCTCCTCTGCCTCCCTTTAGCCCTAATTTTAACATTGCTCCTGGACATTAATAATTTTGAAATAATATTTCTTAAATGGATGAATAAAAGGAATCCCTGTAAATTTATTTCAGTGTCTGCATGACACATCTGAGGCATTCCTCCTTTTTCTTTGGTACTATAAATTGTCTTTTTCTTTGGTAGTAGCAACTGAAAATATATTCTATTTCAATGCTATGTTCCATCCTTGCCCCTAAATTTCCTCCAGACGCTTTCCCATTTTCACTACTTTGTACATAAACTCCCATCCCACTTTAAAATAGTGACTCAGAACAATCTGACCAATGGGAAACTGTTGCCTCCATAAGAACGGCTTCCCTGATGAACCTCCAGCCTCTGCACGGCATCCTCCTTTTCGGTACATACGCTCTCATCACCCCCTACCTTCGGCAATAATAGCTTATTTCAGTTTGTTTCCTTTATATGGATGATTATTTGAATAAGATGGCCTTCCACACAAACTCATAAGTTTCCCCCATCTATTTTGAGACCATGCCTATTTTGTTATCTTATTCTTTTTGTTTTGTTTTGATTTTGAGACCGTATCTCACTATATTGTTCAGGCTGGCCTTCAACTTATTACGTAGCACAGGCTGGGCTTGAACTCACAGTGATCCTCCTGCCTCAGCTCCCCACACACTGTGACTGTAGTCATGCTCGATCATGCCTGGCTTTTGCTATCTTATTTTTACCTGCTAATGTAATGCCAAGTGGAGGACAGGTGCTTAAGAAAGTAATGCACTTAATATTGATGAATAGCAGAGTTTTACATAGGTACACTTTGGTTTTCTCCATAAACAAGAAGACAAATTCTTCTGTTCCCTTTGGTTAAATATTTATTCTTAAAGCTAGAAAAATCTCCTTTCTGGAATTCCAGTGTACATATGGGTTACAAAATGGACTGCTACACAAAAATGGTCCCATGAAGCTGAGGATGAATGTATAAAGAATAAGAGGGAAAGTAAAGTGTGCGGCAGAGGTCATTTAGCAAAGAAACCTCCAAGTGGAAGGAAAGAAAATCACAAGGAGTTTTCTAAAACTTCCTTTATGGAGGTGAATGTGATAGGGAGCTGGACTCTTGCTGTTTATTTCTCACTGTGTCTTAGAGGAAAAATACTTTGAAATGGTGAGGCACTGGAATGAAAGAAAGGTGAAAGGAATTGAGACGTCAAATTATTATGCTGAAGTTCAGAGACATGGTGGTTAGAGGTTTTTGCAAGAAACCATTGTGACATTCACTGAGAGTCAAAGTGAAATATAGGATAATACCACTAAAAACAAAAATTAACATTCTGGCTGATTTTTTGGTTGTTATTATGGGGAACTTCAAAAACATACAAAAAGTATAGATGACAGTATAATGGGATACCATGCAGTCATCATTTTGTTTAAATGGTGAAGAATTCAATGTTAATTTTGTTTCATCAAGATACATGTTGAAAAAACATGAAGTCTGACAGGTTCTTCCTTTGTGGGTCCTGGAGTTCTGCATTTCAGGAAGCAATCTGTGTTAGTTATTTTAATTGTGGTAGATTACTATTGAAGACAACTGTCTTCTGCCTATTATTGTTCTTTAAATGCTGTACTGCTGACACCTTGTCTTTGTGCAATTTTATAAACTGTAAGGGGTGATAAATTTAGCTTTATCAGTTACCTATTCTAACATGTTCAGATACTGTACTTTAAAAGACTATATACTTTAGTCCTAAAAACCTTTCTGCTGAGACTGCATATTTTTTGGTACAAGGATATATCGAAATACATATATTGGTTTTAACTAAGATAATTTAGGTTTAGTTAAAATTTACTAATGGTTTTAAACAGAGACTTAGAAGTTCGGCCTCAAGACTCCCAATGGATAGCTAAAATCAGGATAAGCTTGGCATCTGTGCCTTCATTTTTATATCTGTCTCCTTTATTACCTTAAAACATTGGGTCACATCTTTGATCAACTCTGCACATATGCATGTTAATCACTTAAGGAGCATCTGTCTAAAAACTGATTATACGAGGTTTATTAGCTCTGAACTTACCTAAACTATCTCAGCCTCCTTTAGGTTGCAGACACCAAGATAATAGTAACTAATGTATTTTCAAGATTTGCAGCACACCTGTAATTCCAGAACTCAGGAGGCTGAGGCAGAAGGATAGCTGTGAATTCAACAGTTAGAATAGGCAACATGTTAGAACGGGCAACTGATAAAGCCAGCCTGGGTCACGTAGGGAGTTCAAGGCCAGCTTGAACTACAGCAAGACCCTGTCTCAAAAACCAAAAAAAAAGATTTGCAGGGACATTCAATTGCCAGTGTCCTGTTGAAGATCTCTCATGGTGATGTGTAGAAGTTTCCACTCATTGTCCTAAATTTTGAGACACCTAGGCTTCCAGGAAAAGCATAGCCTCACAGATAGATCACTCCATGACAGAAATGAGGTTGGCCCCTAAAAAAGAACAATCGTGTCATGGGAATGAGATTTCCCCCTCAAGCCATAAAGATTTCTCCAGAGCCACCATCAAAGAACTGGTCCTGAGATGATGATCAACCAAAGGATGGCTTGAGCAGGATTACCTACCTTGTCAGCTATGTAAATCTTTATGCAAACCTCTAACCGTTGCCTTTATACTTTACAAAGCCTCAAAGTTTCTGACAGCTCCTCAAAGATATATCTTGAATCTGTTTATCCCACCTTCCTGGTATGGTCATGCTGATTAAAATTCTTTTCTTGTCCTTTTACCATTGTTCACTTCATCTTGATTGATGGTTTAGGATCCATCAGGCCAAGCCTGATCTATTGGTACCTCTAGAGCAGGGGCATTTGCCATAAAATTCTGGTAACAAATGTGATGAGCCAGCTAAGAGAAAGCACATCCCTTGGGTGTTACAGTAGTCACTCACAGTCAACCCTAGATGAAGAGGAAAGTTTGAATAGATCTCACGCTTCTGCTAAAATCAGACCAGTACTGGCTGCTTCTGAAACTGTTTGGTGAAGCAGAAAAATGAGCCTTGAAATTTACCAGCCTTTAGATTAAAACCCCTGGAAGTCATTTCTGATAGTGTACACTGGACCTTGTTCTTTCTTATTTCTTTGTGGTGGGGGCTCTTTGGGTCTATTCTAGAATTAGGCCATTTATTTTTGACAAAGAAACTTGAAATTCTGCAGGAACTATGGTTAAAAAATACGGTATGAAGAATTACAAAGTATGTTAGGGAGTCAGGGTATTTGTGAGATCTCTACTGTAGTTTGTGTCACAATGGGAAATATTAAAGTCTGTACTGTCAGGAAACCCCCTAGGGAGAGTTCTGGCTGACTATAATTATAAACTTTTGACTAAGAAAAAAGATGATTTATTATTATAATATAGCATGGCCTATGTACCTAAAAGTACACTCTCATTTAATGTAACTGCTTTATGTGTTCCTACAGCTTGACTGTTAATCTGTGTTTCTGATACTGTCGATTTAATATAATTGTTTTATGTGGGGTTTTTGTTTGTTTATGCTGATTGAATTGATACAGACTAAAAATAAATCTGATAGCTCACAGCAATGGTCCTAATGGACACTTAGCTAAAGTAAGGTCTCCAGACCTGAAGAAACGAGATGGATGCTCCCTCTAGGTGCCCCTAAATGACTAGGGTCTTAATGGAGGTATCAGGGAACTGCCTTATGATGTATCACAGGGAACCACCTCGGAAAAACATACCCTGTTCTTGGGTTAGGAAGAACTCAGCTCTTCCGGGAGGTACACATAAGGGAGTGGCCACCATACACCATACACCTGAGCTACTTTATACCCTTTGGTGCTTGTAGCTTTCCAATACACATAAAAAGGAAATATCCAGCCCATTGGTGCTGCTTGGAGAAGGCATCCATATAATCACATTCTGACCCAAAATATCCCCCAGCATGGACTCTTGCTTTAGTCAGCAGACAATCCTCTAACAAATTCAGTTCTAAAAATAGCATTGGGGAAAACTTAATTCAAAACTTATCAAAGTAAATTGGTCCAAAAGTCCCAAGATAACTTTAACCATAGAGAAAACGAAAACTCACTACTCCCACTTCAGTATTGGAAGAAATGGCCTTTTTGATGTCTAATAACCAAGATGGGGAGGCTGAAAGCAAGGAGGATAAAAGGGCTAAGAGGATACACAAAATTTGGGCCCTAACACTCCAAGGTCAGCCAGGACCCAGGGGATAATAGGGTCCCTAAAAAAGGGCCTTGAAACACTCATGAGTCACCTAATCTCCAAATCAGGGGGACTGTGGAGACCCCAGAGAGTAGGAGCTAAGCAGTTCATATTCTACAAAGAGGAGGGTAATTGGAAAGGGGCATATCGCCAACACTCCCAAGGAAAGTCAGCATGATGCAAACCTATCCTGGCAGACGATATAATGTGTAATGGGAAAAACACTAAAGAAACCAAAAAGCTACTAACAAGGCACCAAAACTAACCTATCAAGAGCACACACTGATCCTAACAGTAGAAAGAAAAAAGGCTAATTTTTTCTCCACATAGGGCTTACCTATTAGGTCTTAAACACTCAGGATAGAAGTATAACCAACGGCAAATGTGCTGTTACAGGGGCAAAAGAAATGCCACACATAGACAATTAGAAGAAAAAGGCAAAGGTTTTTTTAACTAGAACTCTGGATGTGACCGGGCATTTTAGGAACTCAATTCTCGTTTTGTTCCCTTCTCTTGCAATAGTTTACCAGCTGACCGGAAAACCTGAAAAGCCAGGTTGGCCAGCATCCTAATTCTTTCCAGACCAAGGAACCGACTAGGCAGTGGGGGATTTAGGCTAACAGGCTTAGAGGCCAGGCCTTCCCATGTCCAACAGGTAACTAAAACTAGGATGGAGCTTGGCATCTCCACCTTCCTGTTTATATCTGTCTCCGTCAGTATCTTAAAACTTAATCTCTGCTCAGCTCTGCACTTACACAGGTAATCACTTAAGGAGTATCTCTCTAAAACTGTTAATACAGGTTGATCGGCCCAGATTTTCTCTTACATATCTCATCTTTATTCAACACTAGCGCACCAAGATAAGAGCAAAGTGTTTTCAAGATCTGCAGGGACATTCAGTTGTTGACTTTTATAATATCCTGTTTCTGAATCCCTGGAATATCACCTAAGTCTCCAGTCATTGTGTTCTAAATTTTCAGTAACCTAAGATTCTAGAAAAAGCAGAGCATCATGCATAGGTCCCATCATGACAGAAATGAAGCTGGCCCCCAAATAAGAGCAATCATCTCATGAGAATGGAGTGTCCCCTCCCTTCAAGTCAAAAGGACTTCTCCCCAAAGCCTGCTCCTAGAACCAGTCCCGAGATAATGCTCAACCAGACTATGGCCTGACCAGGATTTCCTACTGTTATAGCTTATATCTAGATGTCCCCCAAAGCCTCATGCGCTCATAGTTGGGGCTTTTGAGAGGTGGCTGTATCATGGGTATGTGATACTGGATTTTGGGTCTACAATAACTGGATTAGTCTACTGATTAGCTTAGCATAATTATGGGTACAGATAATGGGAAGGCTCACCCTAGGTGTGTATGGCACCAACCAACAGGTTTGTAGCTTTAGTGGAATAAAAAGGGAAAGGAAGGCTTGCTGTTTCTTTACCTCCTGCCTATCATGTCATGAACTGTTTCTTCTCTGCCATTCTGCCCTGCCTTAGATCCGGCCAACTATGGACTTAAACCTCTACGAACTGTGAGCTAAATAAACTTATCCTCCTTCAACTTATGGGTGTCAGGCATTTTGTCCCAGTAATGAGCAAGTACTGTAACTAAGACACCTACCCTGCCAGCTATGCAAATCCCTGAGCCATGCAAACCCCCAACCTTTGCTTTTGCTCACATTTTCTATAAAATCTCAAAGTTTGTTAGTCCCTCAAAGACAGACCTTGAACCTGTTTACATGTCCTCCCTGTTATGGAAATGTTGATTAAAGCTCTTTTTCTGTCCTTTACCACTGTTTGTCTTGTCTCTCTAACTGGCATTTTGGGATAGAATCTGGTCTGTGGAGACTCCCTGAGCTGGCCTTTCAACCTAAAACTCCAGTAACAGTTTACTGGAATTGTCACTTGAGAATGATCTATCTTGACAAAATACTTACCAATATTAGCATAATGTTTCTTCTCCTGTGTATTTGTAGAAAGCTCAAACATGTCTCCATAAGCCCGAGCAAACCGCCACACAAATTCTATTTCATCTCTAAACTAAAAAGATAGAATTACACATTAGATTAAGTCAGTTACCTATCCAGACTATAATTGTCTTCCACTATGCTTTTAAAAATTTGGGTGGAGACTTTTAAAGTTCTAAAAAATTTTATCAGCAGGCAATAATTGTGTATCTTTACGGGGTACCATGTGCTGCTTTGGTACATTTATGTGGTATGTATTGATCAGCTCAGGATACTTACGGTGTAGGCAACACATTTGGTGTGGCTAAGTTCTCAAACAATTTAAATTGTTCATGGGAAAGAAAGAGGTTATTTCTTCTTGGTATATTGTAAATCCCCCATCCCCATTTTTAATGGTGGTGGTGACAGGAAAGAGTTTTTCAATTCAGGCCCAACATTAAACACTGCAAAATGACCACTGGTAGAAATAGCTCACATACTGACAGCTATTATAGTGATAATAATGAAGAAATTTTTAAAAAATTTTGTTCCCCTGAGAAGATGCACTATATGCCTTGGCCTAATGTCTTATTTGTTATCAGTTACAAAATAAATCTTAAATATACAAAGTAAGTAGAAAAATTAGATAAAAGTAAATCCATGAGGTTATAGGTCTGGTTCCTATTTTTATTACCTTAGGTGAGTCTAATTAACTCTTATATTTACTTTTTAAAGGTTTTAGCCACTTTTCAGAAAAATTTCACATCAGTTACCTAGGTTATGTAAACATGATGCTATCAGTATGGTCCTAATGTAAATGGGACAGTAGATTAAGTAAATAAACTACATAAACATGCTATTGTCACACAGTTCTTACCTTCTCTTCGTGGTCACACAGTAGTTCAAAACCCTCCATTTTGCCAGACTCAGTCATGCGTAAGTGATCTGCCTTCTGAAGAAGGATATCTAACGTTAATTCCTCTACATGCGTGTTAAATGCCTTAGGCACTGAGAAACTCTGTTCTTCTGTGTCAGTGTTAGCTGTAATATACCTAAAATTGCAGAAATAATTATCAGCTCCTTTGAAAGCTATGCATAGTGGGTACAGTGAGCCTTTTAGAATGTCAGTGAAATTATGCCACTTTTATGCTTGAAACTGCCATGGTGCTGACTGCCTGTCACACAGAAGACAGTCTACAAATACGCCAGCGATGGCAAACCTTTTAGAGCTTTAAATGATACCAATGGCTCATGGAGGCACACGTGCCACAGGTTTGTCACCACTGCTTATGCAATTTGCTCTCCAACCCTAATACCTTCCCGATCTCATTTCTCACTTTGCTCATTCATTCATTGCTAGTCTGGACTCAAACCTGTTCCCTAAGCCTACTAAACACACTCTTACCTGAGGACCTTTACTTGTTTTTCTGATGAAATGCTCTTCTGTTAGCCATATAACCCACAGCCTCACCTCCTTAAAGTCCCTGCACCAATGCCATTTTCTCAGTCTGATCCACTGAGACACCTCTGTTTAATGCTGTGACCCCCACACTCCCTTCACCTGCAGTCTCCCTTACCATGCTTGACTTTTTCCTCATACCATGTCTTTTAGTATGCTATCTAAATGACTAACCTACTACATGTGCTGTTATTCTGTTAGCGTCTGCTCTACTAGAATGCATGGTCCCTAATGGTAGAGTCCACTAACTGATGTATCAAGGGTTCACAACAGCACCTGCCACAAAGAACATATTCACTGATGACCCAGAGTTATAGGGACTCACTGGTACTCAAAAATAGGTGTGCACTTATTTACATACATGTATTTAATTTTTAAAAATTAATACTATACTTCATACTAATTTTTATGTTATACAATACAGTTTATATTTATTAAAATACTGCCTGTTCTAAACAAGATTTTAAAGAGGTATAAAAAGATATGCTACATATAAGAGAATAAGTCAGGAAGAGTGAGAAAATATAAAGCAAAAAACCCAAATGAGGTAAATAAAATACACATATTTTATATCTATAGCCTTGTAACAGGGGACACAAATGTAGTTCTTAATTTCTAAGCAGCCAGTGCAGCCAGTCACATAACCTGCAGTCTCCATTAGATATAAAGAAAGATAAAATTGAGTTCTTGCGACAATGCAATTACTTTCAAGCACTAAGACTCAAAATAAATTTCAAAGGCCTTGTAAAGAATACACTATATGAGACTAGTATCAACTTCTTCAAAAACATTATTAATAAAAAGTCTATTTTTCCACTTGCTTATACCAAAAGACTTGAAATTATCCTTTACTTTTCTTTTTTTTCTTCTAAGTAACATTCAGTTTGTTACCAAATCTTGTCACTTCTATTTTCAAAATATACACAGAATACAGTTATTTTTATCACCTCTCCCTTACACTTCCCTCGTCTAAACCATCAAGACCTCATCCAAATTACAGTACTGCAATGTCCACCATCATGTCTTCTTGGTTTAGATTCGGACTTTAACAGTCTATTCTCAACACAGTATCTAGAGGAATCTTTCAAAAATCTGAATCAATTTATGTCACTTATTTGATTAAAGAATGATAGGACCTTCCACAGATGTCCAAATCAAAGCAAAAACTTAAGCTCTGGCAGTAATCTACAAGGTCATACATAATCTACTCCAATATCTTTGACTTCATTTCCTACCACTTTCCTGCTTGCTCAAAGCGTTCCAGGAACTCTGAACCCCTTGATATTCCTTGAAAACATCAGTTACTTTCCTACTGTAAGAGTCTGTATTTGCTGTTTCTTTCTCACTGGTGTATTCTTCCCTGTATATCTATATAGCTTACTTCCTATTTCATATCCTTGTTTATTAAAATGTAACATTACTGTAGATGACATGCCTATTTACATAAATAACACAAAAGAATTTACAAATCATGATATTAACAGTTGAATTTAGCAAATAGGCTAGATACAAGGTTAACATAAGAAAGCTTTATTTCTTAAGAATAAAGAAATAAAATATATCACCAGTTAAAATAAAGTCCAAGAAAGCATCATTAAAGAAAATATTCCATTGTAAAATGATCTGAATTCATGAAGAAGTATATCACATACATAGCTACGAAGACCAAATGTCAAATATGCACATTATCTCCACAGTAATATACAGATTCAATACAATCCAATTTATAAGCATAATAGGAATTTTAAAGGAAGTTAATGAGATGAACCTAAAAGTTATATGGAAATAGAGTCCAGAATAGTCAAAGCATTTTTGAGGAAAGAAAGCAAGGAGAAAAGACTTATCTCCACATTTATTGGGACCTACTATTAAGAACAATAATAAAAGTCAGTGTTGTATTGGTACAATGCCCAGACTAAAAAGAAAACAGAATGGTAGCTCTACTCAAGTTGACATCATCTTGTATGCAAAAATTCTAAGGAAAACACACACACACACACAAAATACCTATCAGAATAGACAAGCTCAGAAAGGCTGTAGGATACAAGATCACTGTGCAGATCAAGAGCTATATTATGAGGAACAATTCAAAGATGAAATGAATAAAATAATTTCATTTGTGATATCGTTTAAAGGAATATAACTGTTATAAATACATTTAACAAAGAAGTGCAAGATTCAATTTAAAACAATGTTGAAATTAAGAAAGCTCTAGTAAGTCTAAATAAATGATAAGAAATCTCATGTTCATGGATTAGAACAGTTGGTTATGTTAGGATGGCAATACTTCTAAATTTATCTATAGAGTCAAAGCAATTCTTATTAAAATTCCAGCTTTTTCCCCCTAGAAACTGAAAAAATTGTTCTTAAAATTCATGTAGAGCTGGATGTGCTGCTGCATACTTAAAATTCTGGCATTCAGGAGGCTGAGGAGGATGGCTGTGAGTTTGAGACCAGCCTGCACTACATATTGAGTTCAAAGCTGGGCTCAATAATCTAGCAAGACGCAGTCTCAAAAAACCAAACTGAACCGAACTGAACTGAACTGAACCGAACCAAAAGCCAAAGCAAATTAAACCAAACCAAACCAAACCAAACAACAAACCAAACCAAACAAACAACAACAAAACTCATGTGGAATACAAGGGACCCAAAGAGGTCAAAATTTTCACAGAAAAAAAATAGTGGACCATTTTCTTTTTTATTTTAAAGAAAATTTTAAAAAAATAACAAAATAACAACAAAAACAAAAACAAAACAACACAAAAACAATAAAAATGATTCAAGATTTCAAAACAAGATAATAGGAATTAACAGTGGTTATTACATTACATATTGTTATCTTCAACGAAGGTGCTCAGATTACCAGATATAAGAATGCAAGATTGATCAAACAGTTAAATAGAAGAAAAAGTAATAAAAAACATTAGAAATGGTATACAGCTTCACTAAACAAGATGGTAGGAATTCAACAATGGTTGTTATATTGCCTATTGTTGTCTTCAAATTAGTTGTTCAGATTACCAGATATAAGCATGCAAAATTGGTCAAGAAAAAAAAAGTTAAGCATTAACTGTTCCTTTCAATAAATCAATACAATTTTTATAGAAAAAAAGTAGAATAGACATTAAGGATCTATTGAGGGTCCAGATATAAATTTTTATATTTATGGCCAATTTATTTTGACAAGAATTCTAAGACAATTCAGTGGAGGGAACAAAACCTTCAATAAGTAGCTCTGGGACAAATCAATATACACATGCAGAAGAATGAAGTTGAATTCTTGTATCAAAATTTAAAATGTATCAAAACCTAAATGTGAGAGCTAAAATTTATTTTATCTCTTAGAAAAAAATGTAAGAATTATTACTTCTGAACTTGGATTAGGTAAAAGTTGTCTTAGATATTCTTAATGACACAGGCACAAGTGACAAAGGAAAAAATAAATTCTATAAATATGAAAAACTTTTGTGCTCCAAAAATCCATTAAGAACATGGATAATCCACCCAGTGGGAAAAAATACAAATCAATATCTCATAAGAGACTATATATAATAAAGAACTCTTACAATTTGATAATAAAGACAACGAATTTAAAAATGCAACTCTGTGAATAAATGAAAATCACCAAACCGTACTTTATGAGGGTGAACTTTATAGTACATAAATAATATTTAATAAAGCTGTTAATCTTTATAAGAATAAATACCTAAATAGTCCTATAAATAGATAGAATACCTAAATAGTCCTATAAATAGTCCACTAAATAAATCAAATCAGAATTATATGTCTACTCTTTCTCCCTCCCCAATTTGACTTATTTGAATTTTTCAATGAAACTGATAAAGAGGGAACACCTCTCAGTTTATTTTATAAAGGTAATTTAGCTGATTATCAAAGCCAAACATGGGTATTATAAGAAGTAAAAATTAACGGTTAATGTCACACATAAAGGTAACTATAAATATTCTCAATAAAATATCCACCAAGAACTGCAACAAATATAAAAGAATACATCATAATCATATTGGATTTATTCTGCGAATTGTAAGCACAATGATAGAAAATTTCTCTAGCATAGCAGATAAGAAAACTATATAGCCATGTCAGTAGTCATCAAAAAACTTTTTTGTCAATAAACTCCTATTTAGCTTCAAGCCAAACAAAGAAAAACCCAACAACAACAAAAACACACTTAAATAAGAAGTACAAGGGAGTTTGAAACCTGATTCAGGATATACACTAAAAACTAATATATTTTACACTTAACAGGTAGGTAATCAATGAAGATTTATGATCAATTCTTGAAAATCAACTGTGCTTCTAAACTCCACAAAGCAAGTTAGAAAATGTGATTTTAAATAATATAGGATTTATAACAGTAGGAAAATTATAATATAACCTATGGAAAAAATTCCGAAAGAGTTTTTATGATCTTTCTAGAGAAAAATTACAAAATATCATCGGAAATATTAAAAAATATTTTAGTAAGTAGAAAAAGATATCTATGCACAGGAAATTTTATCATTAAAACAATTTCAGATTCAGTGGCACAGTGCTTGCCTGGCAAGTGTGAGGTCCTGAGTTTGATTC